TGGGGGTAAGAATATATATGGTTTAGGGAGACTTAATTATCTACAAAATGTCTAATAATGAACAGTAAATTTCAAATTTCATTTATACAGTCCTACTAATAAATTTCAAACTTTATATATACAGTCCTACAGATCTCATTAGGAAACAGAAAATTTTCAAATAAATCTGTCACTCCAATGATATTATATGCTAAGATATAACCCAGATCTAATTAATAATTAATAATGTAATTAAATTCAAAATGTCTAATAATATAGCTTATAATCATTACCACTTAGGAAATAGATAATTTTCAAATAAATCTGTCACTCCAATTTTTATTGTGAGATAAGACATTATGCTAAGTCATAAAAAAGATAACAAGAGTAAAATATTTAAAAATTCCACTTTTGGATATTAAAAATGGCAATAACTCACAAAGGAGATATACTAATATCTTGAAAATTGAACTAGACCTTCATTAAGTCCCAAGAAACAACATATTTAAATTTGAAAAAAAAAATTTAAAGCGTTTTCATGTTATTGTGCTGACACTGTTTGGCAGCCGCCCGCCGTACATCACCATTTTAATAACCGATATTTCCTTCGAAAAATCCAGTTAAAAATGGTAAAATTCATCATCTAAGGGCAATAACTCCCACAAGAAGTCACCTGACAGTTTTGACGTAAATGAACAATGGGTAGAGCTCAACATTCTGAACATTTTTGCCTTGTCAGATTTTCTCTATTCATAGCGGTTTTCAAAACAATAGGCAAAACTTGCATTTTACCACTATGTTTTCTATTTTTAGCCATGTCCGTCATCTTGGTTGACCGGCTGGGTCATCGGACACATTTTTTAAACTAAATACCTTATTTCAGAGGAGAAGGCTTTTGTAAAAGTTAACAGACGACGACGGACGACGACGACTGGCGCCAAGTGATTAGAAAAGCTCACTTGGCCTTTCAGGCCAGGTGAGCTAAAAATGCTTAGTTACTGATCTTTATGACTCCACATTTTGAGTTAAACCCAGAGGCAACTGTTCATTATGTAACACTGCAAACTGTGCTTAGCATTATTTTAATCAGTTGTTATTTAATGAAATCATTACACGTGTGATGTCATAATGTTTACTTAAAAACCTAATGTGCATTTCTCAGTGATAAAGGGTTTTCACTGAAGTACATTTTAAAAAAAGAATGTGTCCATAGTACATAGATGCCCCACTCGCATTATCATTTTCTATGTTCAGTGGACTGTGAAATTGTGGTTAAAACTCTAATTTGGCAATAAAATTAGAAAGATCATATCATAGGGAACATGTGTACTAAGTTTCAAGTTGTTTGGACTTCAACTTCATCAAAAACTACCATGACCAAAAACTTTAACCTGAAGTGGGACAGACGGACGAACGGATGAACGAACGAAAAACATAATGCCCCTCTACTATCATAGGTGGGGCATAAAAACTTTTTTTTAAATAGAATTATGTGCAAGGACAAATTTTGAAAATTTGCACTTCATTGTGCTTTAATTATATGATAAATATGACATATTCAGCAGTTTAGAGTGGTTTTCTAAGGTTGAAAATACAAAATTTTCAGTGGTAAAAATTATTAAGTATTTTTTTAGGGTTTTTGATAAAATCTACATTTTTGCATAATTTCTCAGTCAAAATGCACTTTCAGACATCAGAAAATTTTATTCAATGCTTTAACAGGGTCTGTATATTGTAATTGAAGGTTATCATCAGATGTTTTATCCATATTGTGACCTGTGAAGGTATACTGGAAGAAATCAATTATACTTACACATTGTATTCAGAATTAATAAATATAGCTATAAAAGGGTCAATGCCTTATAGTGCTGAAACAACTTTATTTTCTTTCAGAAATGGACAAAAATACACAGATTTATTCAGAAAGTCATACTGAAGAAGATCACACAAGAATATTTGGAAAAATCAGAACTATGGATTTCAATATGGGTCAATATCTCTAATGTGCCTCAAATTGAGGAACTCAATAGTTGTGCGTAAACAAAAAATCTCTGTGTAGTGATATTGGACATGTTTCAATTTTTAACAAGTGACTGAGCTTAACCATTTATGCTGATTTGGGGAGTAAAGGACCATAGAATAAATGTGTAAAAACTATGGTGTTATTAAATGTATGCAAAGAACTAAATTTTCAAAGAACTTATTGTGTGAAAAAAGGGATTTTTTTACCTCGAGGAGCCTCATCTCGAAAGGATTTTTCGGGGTGTGCTAACTTACTGGAAAAATGAATCTCACTTCGTACCATGAAAATTTAACCACACATGTGAAAATATCAAAGCTTCGAAACAAGCCATCATACATATATCAAAGATTACGATATGAGCAGAAGAATTGAGGAAAAGGCTACCATTACCGCCTACCAGAAATTAATTATGCATCTGTGTGCTTTTAATTACGTAAAAATTCCATAAGCGATTAAAACTTTAACTGATTTTAATTTTTCCCAGCATACGCCAAATCGGGTTAAAACATCACAACCCTATGACGTATGTCAACCAAAAAAGTTACAAATACTTGATTTTCTCCATTAATAGAGGGAATATAAATTTAAAACTTTGTGAATGTGCTTTTTATGTTATGATGAACATATTTAGATGATAAGTAAAAAATCCTGAATTTTTCCCTTTAAGAGTTAACTGACAATTTCAGTCATGTTGACATGTTTGCTGATCTAATCCTGCTGATAATTTTTCCTTTTTAAAGTTTCTATTTATCTATTACAGTTTTCAAGATAATAGTCAAAAATAAATGGAGAATGTGTCCATGGGACACAGATGATGCCCCTGCTTGCATATAATGTTATAAAGGGACATAATTCAAGAACAGTAAAAGTGATGCAACCCAAAAATTCGAAATTGATATGTTTTTTGTGGAAATAAGCATTGTGTATAAGTTTCATAACATTTGGTTGAGGCAATCTAAAGTTAGAGAATGGAAACTTATTTTGGGATGTACAGACGTATGGACGGACAGACAAGGGTAACACTTAATGCCCCCTCCACTGCGGAAGGGGCATAAAAATGCATAAAAATGTAAAAAATTATCATTTAAGGGCAATAACTCAAATAACAGATCCACTAAAGATTTCAGTCATTATGGCACATTTGTAGATCTTTTTTTGCTGATCATTTGTGCTATTTGAAGATTTTATCTATCTATTACAGTATATACAAGATAATAGGCAAAAATGGGGAAAATCGTCATTAAAGGGCAAAAACATCAATAAGGAGTCGACTTACGATTTCGGTTATGTTGAATTATTTGTAGATCTTGTCTTGCTGATCATTTTGCTTTTAAAAGTTTCTATCTATCAATTATATTTTTTTAAGATATTAGGCCCATTAAAGGGCAATAACTCTAATAAGGAGTCAACTGATGATTTCCTCTATATTGGCTTATATGTAGATCCTGTCAGGCAAATTTAGTTTTTTGAAGAATCCCTCTATCTATTCTTGTTTTTAAGTTAATAGGCAATAACGGAAAAAATTGGTAAAAATCATCATTAACAGGTAATAACTCTAATAAGGAGTCATCTGACAATTTTGGTCATGTTGACTTATTTGTAGATCTTGTCTTGTTTAAAGTTTCCATCTATCTATTATAATTTTTGAGATAATAGGCAAAGGAAATTTTAAAATGATAGAAGTCGCCATTTTCACATGGACTAGGGCATTAAATTCCTTAATTTTATCCCTCATAAATGCTCTGGATAAAATACAAATATAATATCAAGGCCATCTGAAAATTTCCTACAAATCTATGACTTACATACATTTTTTCTTAAATATAGCATGCATGGTCAAGAGAATATTACAACAAATAATAAATCCTACCAACTATCAACAGTCAGGGATATAACTCTATAGGGTTATTACAGAAAAATAACATACATTTGTTATTGTGGACTAAAAAATCAAAGAACTGTGATAACATATGTATGTTACATGTTTCAAAGGGACAATATACATCATTAGTTTAGTGAAAATGTATACAAGTTCTATTGATATTACTATTGTCTTTATGTATACTTAACTATAGAAAGATATAACAGTTCATAGTTTGCCAATCTTGCTTAGTACACCTATCTTATTACAGAAAAAATATGCCTGGAATAACTAAAGGGTGTTATCACAGTTTCTCTATATCACTCCAAAGCATTTGCTCTGACATAAATCATGCTTAATTACAATGTATTTTAATTTAATGTAAGAAATAATGACCAGAGCATGTAATAAGGTTCTGCGCAAGCTTCCCAGTAATTCCCAAGTGTCTCATATAATAAGTTACATTCCTTTAATAACTAAGCCTTGTTATTACAGCTTAGTTTATCCCTTAAAAGCCTCGTCTCATTGATTTACCATGGTTAATCAAAAATGTATTATTTTAATTAAAAAATTAGTTATCAAGGCTATGCATTTAGTTTCTGCGCAAAGTCTCTAGAGTTCCCTAGAGCCCACTATAAATTAAAATATTTTTGATTTATTTTACAAATAACAAACATATGTTATTACAGATTCAGAAAATTTAAGGAATAAAGAGTAGACAACTCATGAAAGTATCTGTAATAACACACGCAAGTTATTTTCTGTAATAACCCTATAGAGTTATATCTCTGACTGATCAAAGCTATATGTTATGTCAAACTTTATTTTGAGTATTGATCATGATATGTTTTGGATGGACGGACAGACAGAGACCATCACCATATCCCCCCACATATTGCAACGCACAGGAGTCAATAAAGCTTATTCTATGGATGTGTAAACTCTGCCTGCTTTTTCACTCACAAACTGAATATACTCCAAAAAACTTTATGTTAATTAAGTTTGTGATTGAAAGGCTGAGATTACACATAAACTAAACCCTTTGGGTCAGGTGAGCTAAAAAAGGGCATTTTCTATCTTTTCCCATGGTCTATTATATTGTGCTTTATACTACTCAATACATGGTGTACTACTTACAGAATTGGGACAATATCGCCGCATCAATTCATTTACAGCAACATCATTCTGGTGAAGTTTGGGGCCAGTGTGGTACCAACCAACAACTCTCTCACGAGCTATAAAATAACAAATGTTTATATTAAATAAACTGTTGCCACAGAGATATGTCTCACCTGTCAGCATAAAATTCAGACAAAGACAATCTGATGGACCGTAACATTGCTTATTAATTCAAAGTCACTGGACCATGAACTAGAGGGCAGGGCCTTGAAATGGTCAACAAACTGAGATGTACATACAGTAATGTAACTTTATAGAAATAAATGGGGAATATGTCCATGGGACACATATGATGCCCCCGCTTGCATATAACGTTATAAAGGGCCATAACTCAAGAACTGTAAAAGTGACACTACCCAAATTTGAACTTGATCTGAGTTTTGTGGTAATAAGTTTCATTACATTTAGTTGACGTAAACTTAAATTAGAGAACAGAAACGAAAAAATTCAGCAATTTTTCCATTTTTAAAGGGGCATAACACTAGAACAGTAGAAGTGACGCCACCAAAATTCAATCTTTATCTGTGTTTTGTGGTAATTAGCATTGTGCATAAGTTTCATTACATTTGGTTGAGGCAAACTAAAGTTAGAGAACACAAACTTATATTTCAGCAATTTTTCCATTTGTAAAGGGGCATAACTCTAGAACAGTGAAAGTGACACCACCAAAATTCAAACTTGATCGGTATTTTGTTGTAATAAACATTGTGGATAAGTTTCATAACATTTGGTTGAGGCAAACTTAAGTAAAAGAACGGAAACAAAAAAATCAGCAATTTTTTCATTTGTAAAGGGGCATAACTCTAGAACGGTAAAAGTGACGCCACCAAAATTCAAACTTGATCTGTGTTTTGTGGTACATATAATAAACATTGTGGATAAGTTTCATAACATTTGGTCGAGGAAAACTAAAGTTAGAGAATGGAAACCAATTTTGGGACGTACCGACGGACGTACCGACGGACGTACAGACGGACAAGGGTAAAACTTAATGCCCCCTCCGCTACGGCCAGGGCATAAAAATCATAGTCTTTTGTAAGTAGTTCCTATCAATCTAACTTAAGCAGAAAACTTAACATTGAAAATTGGTAATTAATAGAAAGTCACTTGACCATGATCTAGGGGGCAGGGTCTCAAAATAGTTGCCAAACTAATATGTACTGATAGTAATGCAACTTCATACAAAATATCATTGATCTATCACAAGTAGTTCCTATCAAACTAACTTAAACAGAAATCTTAACTTTTGTTGAAGCCATCGTGAGGTCGCCGGAAAGCCACACCTTTGTCTCGCCTTCCTCGGCTTTCATCGCAGGCGAGACATAAACCAACAAGGATATAAGTTTAATTATAACTCTGTTCAATAAATTTGATGCAAACCTTTTTACTTATACATTGTGTATAGTTTTCTTTTCTTGATGTGCTTGATAACAAGCCAGTTGTATCTTTTTGGCTCTGCTTAAAACGTCTATAGGGTGTTACACTGTGTGATTTGATATATTTAAGGCTGTATTTAAGTTTTAACATTCAGTGGCAAATATTACAAGCATAATCAGGATGATAACCTATTCATGCCATGTGTTTAACATCATGCTCATGTTAGTGTTTATAGTCTTGTGGCAAATATTTTGCAGTCGGGACTATGATTTTTATCTTGCTAGCTAAGAAGGTGCCTACGGGAATATATGTCCCCCTACCCAGACACTTTATTGTGATTCCAATTCCAAGATCAAATTTCTTTGCTCTTGTTAGTTGCTACATATGTACTGTATGAAACTGCTTAGCAGAGAAGCTGAAAATTCTAAAGGAGTAAATGTAGGTTGATATAGCTACTAAATAGCCTAAATTTTAAGCTAAAACCTTTCATTAGGATATTATGGCCATTATCACATTGTGTTATCGGTAAGTGTTGGGAATAAGCTGGTAAATTATAATAGATTAATCAGACAGCGAGCTCCATTGATTTAGTTATTATAATCCTTTGATTTATATGCAAATAATGTAGGAAATCAGTAATATACTTTCCCTTATATATGAACACTTGTGCAAGTCATTTACAGTATCAAAGTAGAATTACCCAAACTTACAGAGTACTGTACCCCAAAGCAATGTGTAATTATGTACAAAATGGACATTTGATGGAAAATCAAAGGGATTCCTTACATTTACAGGAATCCCTTAAAGGTTTCTGTAAAAAAGTAACATTTTCTAAATATTTTCTACTTATATCTATTATTGAATATAATAATCAAATAATCGAAAATTTCCAATAATGGATCCATTTTAATATTATAATCAATTATCAGAACATCACTTTTATAGGGTTTTCTTGGAAGCATTCTATCTATGGCATCAAAATTAGCATAAGTTCAATTTTCCATCAAATTTAATGAAAACATGTCAATTTCCCTTGGGTATAGATAACAGAGCTTATATATATGGTTTAACATAGTACTCTAACATTAGATATGATTTACAAAAAATGTAATAACTAAAAATAGTTCTCTAAAATTAGATATGATGTAACACAATGTATATCAATTTTCAAATTATAATCAAATATAATTAATACATGTAGTTCCAAATATTTTTTCTTTCATTTGTCACAAACTAATATAGATCTACAACTTATCTATCAACTTTATCTACACAATGTAGTTATAATGAAATATATCCTTTAATAAAAATAGATTATTATCTAATTAAAGGAGTTCACTTCATATGAAAAAAATTATATATTATAGCACTCAGAAAATTAGATTATACAGAATAACAAACAAACCTACCACAAAATTCTTCAAACATTTTACCAAAGAAAAGAAAGAAAAAAACAAAATTATATTTATCATTAATACAATGTCTTTTAAAAATCTTTTAAAAAATTAGTTATTTCCCTTTGTACAGAAATGGATTAATTCATCAAAAATTGAATTCTTAGGAAAGGGCTATAACTTAACAACGAGAAAAGCTAAAATCATGAAAATTGAACTGGACCTTCATTTGGTCACAGGAAACAACATATCTAAATTTCTTCAAAGCGTTTTCATGTAAATGAATGGACACTGTTTGGCAGCCGCCCGCCATACATCCCCAAATCAATAACTGATTTACTTCGAAAATCCAGTTAATAAAACAGCTTAGCTATCATATACATACTGGAATGAAATTTATATATAACAGTGTATGATCATCTTGATTTGTGACATAAATAACTAGATGTGTCGAATGACCCCCTCTCAAAAAAGCTTGAAGCTATTTTTAGGAGTGGAAATTTGAGAATGAAAGTCTGAATAACTGTTATTTTCAAGAAATTTTCGAAGTCCAAAGCCCGTAACTCATTCTGTAACTCATCATAGTAGACTCACATACTAAAAATCATATCAATATGTGAAGGCGTTCAGTAAAAAAATCTGTAAAACTGTTATTTTCACAAAATGATCAAAGTACAAAGCCTGTTGTTTTGGCAAAAATCAGCAGAGTAGAACCAAAGTAAACTTGGTCTGTAACTCATCATAGTAGACTCACATGCTATAAATCAGCTCAATATGTGAAGGCCTTAAGAAAATCAAAGTACTGAAGTACTGTCTACTCGGATGACCTCAAGATCTGTTAAAGTTGGTTAATGAATAAATGATAGGGATTTTAATCTCACTGTTGTTTCAATACACTTCACTTATATGCATCATCTTACTATCATTATAATCTGGAGTGCTGCTTTATATCATATCAATATATGTATAACAGTGGATAGCAGATCATCTTTATAACCTATTAGGCAAATGTTCATTCATTGAATGCACACATTCAGTTGAACGGCAAATGCCTGGATCTGACAGATAAAGGTCAATCTATCGACACAAAAAGTACTTGTATGTAAAATGTTTACGCCCATAAACAGTGCCACCTACATTTTTTTTCGTCGTCTCTTTGAACGATGTCCCATTCTTTAGGAAATTAAAACATAAAATTAATTGAAACATATATAGAATAGTAAGTCATGTAAGTGTAGAAAACAAATTAAAAGATATATATTTTCACACGACTGATTATGCATGATATGCTGGCAATGGGCGCAATATATCCTTAAATCCAAGACGGAATAAAATGCTCCGCTGGCTGCAGCCTGATACAACCTCAGAGGTCGAACCCTGAACATTTGGGGCAAGTATGGACACAACATATAAGCTTAAAACAGCTCTGAATTTGGATTGTGATTGAATATTTGACACAGCATAGGTTTGTGACACAAAATGAATGGGGTCAAAGAAGTGAAAAATTTGAAATTGGACATTTACCTATTATGGTCCAATATCCAAAATCTAAATACATGGAAAGAATGAATGATGAAGTTGATGAAATCAAACAAAAGTTTATTTTAGGACCCTTTGGACCTCATTGTGGACCAATTTGATAACAGAGCCCAAAATCCAAAATCTAAATACACGGTTAGATTCAACATTTCACCCTATATATTCAATTTTTGTTGAAATCAAACCAAGTTTAATTTCGGACCCCGATTTGGACCAACTTGAAAATGGGCCCAAAAATCCAAATTTAAATACATGTTTAAATTTAGCATTTCAAAGAACCCCATATATATTCAATTTATGTTGAAATCAAACAAAGTTTAATTTTGGACCCCGAATTGTACCAACTTGAAAACTGGGCCCAAAATCAAAAATCTAAATACATGTTCATTAATACACAATATAAGCTTTGTTTAAAAGGAGTTCGCTTCATCAAAAAAAAAAAAATTATATATATTTAGCATTTTAGCATTCAGAAAATTAGTTTAAACAGAATAACAAACAAACATTTGGTTGAGGCAAACTAAAATTAGAGAACAGAAACGAAAAATTCAACAATTTTTCAATTTGTAAAGGGGCGTAACTCTAGAACGGTAAAAGTGAAGCCACCAAAATTCAAACTTGATCTGTGTTTTGTGGTATTAAGCATTGTGTATAAGTTTCATATCATTTGGTTGAGGCAAACTAAAGTTGGAGAACGGAAACCAATTTTGGGATGGACGTACAAACGGACAAGGGTAAAACTTAAT